AACCTTCTGTTCTGCTTCTGACACTTTGTCCTCACATCGATCACTTCTGCTACAAACACTTTCAATAGAATTTTTTAACCTCCAGATTTCTGTTTGTTACCTTTTCGTTGACTCTAACTCTTAGCTGAACTGGTCATTCATGTTTTGTATCATTTTGTTTAGCTCAGCTCAGTTTTTATTAGTGTCGCTAAGCTCACTGATCGTTTTGCTTACTAAATTCATTATGTGTTTAGTTATTTCATTTTTGACTCACTAAGCACTTTATTGATCTGGTTTTTCCTTTGTCTCCTTTTTTATCATTTCATATAATTCAGCTGTTTGACTTTTGAGTTCCTCCGCCTTGATGCTCCATGGATCAGCTTTGGGGGAATTGGAAGATTTTTGGAGGCATTTTGTTCCCTAACTTTTTGTGTTTCTGTTGTTTTGCATGTGTGTGTGTGTGTGCGCGCACGTGCGTGCTCGCTCGTGCTCACAGTTGAGGATCAATTGTAATAGAAAGAATTTGTTGGAAATCTCTTTAGTTAGTACCTGCTTTCTAGCGATGTGCTCTGGGTGTGGTTAACTATAGGTCTTTGCCTCTGTCCCGTTTATTTATGAAAGGAGGGTGCAGTGTAGTTGACCCACGACCCAGTTCTCCAGGAGTGCCTCAGTATTGTTGGTGACACCGATATAAACCCGATATTTGTATGCAGTAAGAGCCAATTAATAGCAACAGCCTTTCCATGCTGGAAATAGCCATCAAGTCAACAATAAGAGATTCAAAGGTAAACTGGATATTGATGTATAGTAAGAAACAGTACCCCTTGAATAATACCAAAAACTACAATAATAATATAGACACAAAGACAAAGCAAATATTAATATACAGGAAATATCTACTAAATACAACTAGCATATCACTATTAACAATAGAAAATAATTCGACAATAAGTACATAAAGTCAACTAAAAATTAAAGATTAATAAATCTTAATAGTAATCCTAATAAAAAGGGAGGGAATGGGGAAGGGGAAATGAAAGAAGTAAAATTTGAAAAATAAGGACAAGGGGGAGAGAAAAGTAAGATAAAAAATCCTATTAAGAACTAAAGGAAAATTAACAGAATTAGATAAAAGTAACAGAAAAGAATAATCCAGAAAAATAGAGTAAGAGAAAAAAGAAAATAAAAGACCCCCTTCCACTAAGGCCCCCAGAAAAAACCAATGAAATAAAAGAGAAATTAGTCCAAAAAATTGCTCTGTGTTTTTGAATGTGTTTCCTTTCCAGGGTCTGTAGGTTGGAGTCCACCAGATCTGAGGGAGGGACAGTGAGTCACTGTTAAATCCCATTTGGTCTCCACTCCTATTTCTGTGTATGGACTGAGTTCTGCCCTGCCTTTTTCCTGCCCGGTGTGGTTGGTCAGTGGTGTCTGCCGCAGGGCTGTCTTCACTCTGACCACTCCCATTTCTGTGACCTTCTGTGCCATGTCAGGGCTTTCTCTGCCTACCTTGACATCTTGCGAGTTTGTGAGGTGCCCCACTGCTCCAGGCAACTGTCCAGGCCAAGGTGTATCTCTGATCACATTGGCAGATTGGGAAGGCAAACAGGTTAGGTGGTGGGGCAAGCAGTGGGGGACGGGGAGGTCAAGCAGTTTGCTGGACTTAATACCAGCACTCTCAGAACCAGACACCTCAGAAACTAGCTGTGACTCACCTGGTTTCTCAGCTTGGAGAACAGGAGCCTCATTTCCTTCCTGGCCAGAGCTTAAGCTTCTCAGAGGGTCTGTGTCTACCCTGTGCGCACTCCACAACTGTCTCTTGTGGCCATCATCCATCCAGTCACTGTGGCAGTGACACCAGAAACCCTGAAGCATAGCTGTTCTGTAGTTGTTCTGTAGCTCAGTCTTAAACAATTAGACACTTTCAAATACGACAGGTCCTGTACTGGATTTCTTCTCGAACCCCGGTGTGTCTTGTAGAAGACACTACTTTGAGAGTAAAACCTGCAGTTCGCAGTAACCATGGGCTTTTCCTGGGGGTAATGCCACTGGCCTGGCCCATTGTTTTTCCCTGCAGCTGCTGACCTCTGGGATTACCTAGTGTCAGTGGGGACAGTTCCTCCTTGACTACAAGTACATTTAGCAGTTTCTTCAAAGAATAGACTTTACAATATGAAGCATCAAATGCTGGCATAACTTAATTTCTCAGAACTATATGATCATAAAGAATTACTCAGAAATGAGGAAATTGTAAGTGTAGTGCACAATATATTTATTCCCAAACACAATAGCATTGACTATTTCTATGGCAGTACAAGGGATGTAAATAATAAACATCCCCAAACAGGAAATCTTCCAATTTAAGTGATTTCCTGAGCAAAATGACAAGAGATATTCACCCTGGTGCCTTTGAAAGGGCAGGCCTTTGCCTTCTTTAATTCTCAACAAATATAGCAGTACTGTAGACTAGCCATCTTTCAATGAAAGAACATTTCAGTAGGTTGGTCACTGGAGTGTTTGTAAAACAGTGTGATAACATGAATGAATGGTTTGATACTGCTCATAGCCTTTAACTCCTAATTGTACCAGCCTAGGTGTTGAATAAATAATAGGTAAAGAGATGTTCTGTTAGTAAAATGCTGGGGAGTGCCAGTATAGTCCTATATCTTTGTTGTATCTTTTGTGTGTGTGTGTGTGGTACTGGGAATCAAACTCATGACCTCACGCTTGCCAGTCAGGCGCTGTGCTGCTGAGCTATATCTCCAGCCCTGTTATATCTTTTAGATGCACAAATTAGAGGTTGTTATTATTTTAACTGGCTAGCTTTTCTTTAGATTTACCTACATATTTACTGATTTATTCCTTCTTGCAACTCAGATGTTTCTTCTAGAATCAAATTCCTTAGTGAGAATCTGCTGGCAAAGTTTTTTCTTGTTAATCTTTATTTGTCTCTTTTTTTGGGGCGGTGGCATAAGAAGAAATAATGACTTCATTTATTGGTAATACTTTTAAATTTGCCCTAATTCTTGAAAGGCATTGGACATAGAATTCTAGGGTGATAGTTATTTATTCTTAGCAATTAATGACATTATCCTACTGAGTTTTTGGCTTCATTCGTTGCTGTGGGAAGTCAGCTCTCGTATTAATCACTTAATTAGCAATAGTCATTCTATTTTTCCCTTCCTCCTTCTTCTTTTAAGAGCTTTTCTTTCTCTTTGGAAGTTTTACTGTTCTGATTTCAATGTAGTTTCTAAATTTGAAGGCAGGTGTGTTTTTATCAGTTCTGAAACTTCTTGGAATATTTTTCTTCTCTGTAATTTTGTGCTATATCCTGAGTAATTGCTTCAGAATTTTCCTCCATTTTTTTTTCAGTTGCATCTAGACAACTTTTCAGCTCTCCATGTAACATAGCTCTGTGATTTTGGAGTGTGCCAGGCTTGCCTGAGAGTCCTTACACACACTTGGTCTCACTGAAGTAAGATAGGGTCTGTACCCCTGTTTTTCACCCATTTCCCCAAGTAATACTGATACCTACCAATATTTGAGAACCATGCTAAGAGTTTAATTACTGAAGTTTTCTTTTCCTTTGAGTTGCTGTCATTTCTTTTTCAAATTTTCTGTCAATTTTGCTAGTCCTTTGTCATACGTTCAATTCCTTCCTTTATTCTTCAAATCTCTTAATGACAAATATTTTTTATCCTATGTCTGATCATCATCTACAGTCTTTGGGAAGTGTGACTCTGTGATTATCATTTTGCTAATTCTTGCTTAGGGTGGCTTGTTTCCTTTAGTGATTAGTAATTCTTCACGGTGAGCTTGCTTTCCTTGGAATGCAGTTTATCTGGGGGACCTCTTTATGGATTTTGCTTAAAGCTCTTTTTTTGTAGGAGGATTGGCTGTTCTTTCTGCCAGGTGTTTGCAGGCACCGTTGACAGTAATACTGTAAACTTAATTTTTGGCTTGATGTAGTGTCACACAGGTCTGGAATTCAGATCCCAAACTTGGGTGAAAGTAGACTTTGGGTTAGAAATGTTCCTTTTACCTGTTCCACACAGAACCAAGTTGTTTCTATGCATCTGTAGCTCCCAGGTCTATCTTTGAGGGGATGAGGATTTTTGTGTTTGTTATTTTGTATTTTTTTTTCTACTTTAATTTTACCCAGCAAGCATCCTGGACTTGGTGGAAGGCAAAAGTAACCTCTGTGCCTCCCTCCTGCTGTGCTGCTTGGCCTGGTCTCTTGATGCCTAGCTGTGCAGCTCAGTAAAGCCTGGGGCCGAGGCAAACATAGACCAGACCCCATGGCGCAAGGCTTTGGCTCAGCTCTTCCCTCACACCTGAAGAGTCGGGGTTTCTTCTAAGCCTCCCCTCCCAGCACAACTATTCATTACCAAGTGTATTTAAGGACTCTTTAAAGCATTTTGCCCACTTTTCATTTGGACGATATCTAGTACGTTGTGGTGATGGAGATGGAACACTCAGATGAGTGTGAGGTCAGAACTGTCTAGCACTGCGGCCAAATGCTGTGAGTAGCATGCCATTAGGGTTTTTACTGTTCTGTGTCTGGCTTTTTTTTCCTATATACAAAACCAAACTTTATTTATTTATTTTTTGTCTCACCATATAGTTGATAGCCTCAAACTTGCAGAGATCCTCCTGCCTCAGCTTCTAGAGTGCTGGAATCACAGGCATGCGCCACCACCCCTAGCATATATACTTTGTACATTAATACTGAAAATCCTGTGTCTGGGTTTAAAAAGATGTATTACACCCAAGCATGGTGGTGCACACCTGTAATCCCAGCATTTGGGAGGCCGAGGCAAGAGGATTGCCATTAATTCAAGGCCAGCCTGGGCTACATAGCAAGACCTTGTCTCAAAAAAAAAGAATAAAAAGATACATTACTGATTTAAGATCAGCTGAAAAATTTTCTCCACCTAAAAATGTTTATGTTGGATAGTATCTATTCACGACATGGTTTATTTTGTATTAACTTGAGCTAAATTTTTCTCTTTTGTTACTTTCAGGAAGTTTTTGAGTACTATGTTCAAAATGAAAATTCAGCGCAGAGGTGGAAACAACCTTCAGTGATTGATAAGCTCAAGGTGAGAAAACCTGTAACCGTGGAAATTCCATGGCAGTGCTTTTGGAAACTTTATTTTTTTGTTATTGCTATTATATATGTAGCGGATAATTATATCAGTAATACCTGTTTAAAACAGGAAATTTAAAAATACAATCTATAATGTATACATTGGACTATGCAGTGTTCTATATATGGTATATGATGAAGAGAGCCTCTTCAGCTGTTCAAAGAAAAAAATCAAAACTACTCATTATTATCCGCTATTAAGTTGAGACTTAATCAAAGCAGGGCATTGAGGGCCTGTGTAGCTCAGTGGCAGAGCACTTGCCTGGCATGCACAGGAGAGGGAGAGAGATTTGGGGGAAGTGAGGGAAAGAGAGACAACAGCATTTGTCTCATACGGGCTTAGTCCATATTTCATGTTTCAAATCTTGTCAGCAACACACATAGCAATTAAAATGTACAAAATAGTATATTGGGCATAATTATACTCCCATGTGAGAGATCTTATACTCATTATAATTTAACAAGAAGGTCGAAAGTAAAGACCAAGGATTTAGCTCAGTGGCACAGTGCCTGCCTGGCAAGCCTGAGGTCCTGAGTTTGATTCCAGGTACCCACCCCCAAAGAAAGTAAGCAAACATGATTTTTCAGCCAAATGTAAGGAAGCCTAGGTGAAAGACGTTACTTTAACAGTTAAAAAAAAAACCTGATGATTTATAGTAAGTTCAGTAGCCACTTGATTTTGCACACTGTAGAATGTTAGCTCCATAAGTATTTTTAAGACACTTTAGGTCATTAAACACTGGTCACTTTTATGTGTCCATCCCCTCACAGGAAATGGCCAAAGCAGAGGGCCTGTGGAACTTGTTTTTGCCAGCTGCGAGTGGGCTCAGCCAGGTGGACTACGCCCTGGTTGCTGAAGAGACTGGGAAATGCTATTTCGCTCCAAATGTCTTTAACTGCCAAGCACCAGGTTACTACATCAATTAAAACTAGAATTTTCTCTAATATTTTGAGAAGCATTTAAATTTTCTTGATTTTCAGACAAGAAAGTTTTTCCTACACAAGGTCTTCATGAATTTTAGCTCTCAGTTTATCTGATTTAAATGTTGAAAGTGGGACTTACATTTCACTGGGTGTCCTTTTGGTAGACATCATCACCTTGGAGCGTCGGTAAGGAGAAGCGGCCGCCAGAGTCCTGCGGACGTGAGGGTCCCGATCTGACTGGGGTGGGAATCAGGGCAGAGTCCCACATCTTTTGTTTAGCTTCACTATCTCTCCATCCCCTCGCCAGTTATTTGTTGATTACTTGCTGTGTGCTAAGGATTCTTCTAGGTCCTTTTGACAGTGTATCAGCGAATAAAATATGCTTCAATAATAAATACACATATCATATCCCTTCCTTCGAGGATCAAATTCTAAGAGAGGGAAAACAAAAACACCAAGTAGAGAGAAACAAAAATAAAAAACAGGTACATTATGCAGTAAATTTGAAGATGAAAGATACTTTGAAAAGAAAAAGCAAACGGATCAGGATATGGGAGCTCCAGATCCCTGAGAAACAGAACATGGGCTACAATTTAAAATAAAGTGGTCAAGATTGACCTCATTGATAAAATGGCATTTGATAAAGGCAACTGATTGACTTAGCTAGGCTGATATCTGGGGGACAGTTCTCATAGCAGAGGGGACAGGAAGTTCAGAGGCCCTAAGGCAGTGATGAGGGCCAAAGGGACTGAGCTCCAAACTGCAACCCCAAGCCCACTCACTGATCGCAAAGTACCTACATTGTCATTAAACATGGATGCAGTACTGAGGTGTTAGCTTAGAAAAAATAACTCTGCGTCAACATCTTCTGTCTGTGTCATAGGTCTGGCCACCACTGCAGTAAGGGAAGAGTATGATTGGTGTATGTACGCCAGGGATAGCTAAAGGGGCCAGTGGCTAGGAGAAGAATAGTAGGAGAAGAGATTAAAGAGAGAAGGCCTCCTGTGTTGGGTGGAGAGGGGCTAGGTGAGGGGTTCCACCTTCAGGAGTGTGAGGAGCCAGCAGGGATTTGGAGCAGAGTGGTGCAAGATGCAGCCTCAGTTTTAAAAGGAGCGCTTGGGCTGCTGAGCCCAAGCTGAAAACTGACAAAATGGGAGAGAGTGGGAAGCAGGAAATCTGTTTGGTTACTCTGGTAAGAGATAATGGTGATTCAGCACTGTAATGGATGACGAATGGAAAGATTCTAAAGATATTTTGCAGGCAGATCCAAGAGGAGCTCTTGATTGGATATAAGGTGTTGATGGAGGAGTCAAGAATGCTTCCAAGGATACGTGAAAAGTCAGAAAGATGGGAGAAACCTGGAATGTCATCTACAAGAAATGTTTTCAAACACACATTTGTAGAACTGCTTACGAAGCTTTGGAAAAATCCAGATTCTTAGGCCCCATCCTACAGATTCGGATGTAGTGTATCTAGGCCAGACCCTTGCAGTGTCTTCTCTCCTCCAAGTCACTCTGCTTGTTTGGATGATACCAGTTAAGGAGCAGCCACTAGTTAAGGATTTGTGGTAGGATGAATTATAGTATGTATCCTGTAACGTCCCTGCAGAAGTTGGGCCTTTTGTGCTTATTATAGGCTGCTAATTCTATAGCTTTTGCCAAGAGTTAATGTAGTGTTAAGCTGCCAAAAAGAGTTACATGCAACTATTTTGGACTTTTGAAAGAAAACAGTCTGAATTTAGCAAAGTAGCTTCATACTGGACCCTCATTTCTTTGCCCCTACTCTGATATTTCATAGACTTCTGATGATGATGAAATTGTCTCTGACATAATTCTCTTTCTAAGCACTGAGGGTATCAAATTACTGCTTGTAGTGCATTGTGAGAACTTTGGTAGAGCTTCTAAAGATTTCATTTCAATTGTGTGAAGCTAATACAAGAAACTACATAGGTAGCATGTGGAAAGGGAAATAAACAGGTAGTGTTCTAGTTTATTTTATTGTTTTTCATAGTAAGAAATATATTTTATATGACCCAGTATGTAGCATATGTAGTTGTTTGTGTATGTTTCTGGATACATGGATGGATGGATGGATAGGTGGGTGGCTGGCTGGATGGGTGGATGGGTGGATGGGTGGATGGGTGGATGGGTGGATGGATAGGTGGATGGGTGGGTGGGTGGATGGGTGGATGGATGGGTGGATGGATAGGTGGATGGGTGGATGGGTGGATGGATGGGTGGATGGGTGGATGGATAGGTGGATGGGTGGATGGATGAACATGGCTGATATATATTACTGAAAGATTTCATGAAATACCACTTTGCCTTATTACATGTAGTGCACTCAGATGTTATCCACTGAGTTTGATTGAATGTGTTTTGTTTTATTTTACTCTATTTTCATTTTTAGAGGATGCTATCCGTATTCTGTTAGATTAATCGTAATCACACTAATGCAGCATAACAAGACAAATAATTCTGTAGAAGACTTACTTGTAAATGCAGCTCTGCTACCATTTTTTTCATTTGACCTATGAGCACACTTGTCACTAGGTGGTTATGGACTTTTTCCTAGGAATAGCATTTCAGGAGTCTATGGGTTTACCATTCAAATGATATTGCAAGATTGTTGAAATTTTTTAAATGGGCAAGGAAACACATTTTCTTTGACTAAGGACTTATTAGCAACTCTCCTAACCAAATAAGCTATGTGATACTGGAACTGTAAAATAAGTATTTTCTTCTAGTGGTGGAGATATCTTCAGGAAGGCCTTGAGCATTGCATTTTGGAGCATTTCCAAAACAGATAAGGAAGGAAATCTAATGGGGCTGATGAAATACTTGAGGAAGTTTCTTAAATATACAAGATTAGCTTCTATGTAACTTACCCAAATCATTTTCCAAATACTATAGTTAAAGAGCTTATGGGACACATAGTCTTCCAATTTTTTCTTTTTTATTCCACCTTTAGTAAGTCATGTAAGACAAATTAAAAATGGTAATTTCAACCCCAAATCTATTCCTGGAAAATTTTGTAGATTTTGGGCTAATTTTTTTTAAGTGGGGAAAAATTATTTTGTAGAAGTATGTGGGCTTATTTTCCCCACTTGTAAATTATAACTTTGCCACCTTCTAAGAATAAACTGATAATTTGGGGAATTTTTATTCAATAGTTAATGTAATAAGAAAAACTGAATATAAAACAAGCAAAGAAAGCAATGAGTTTCATTAATTATACTTTGACTTTTCTCTCTCACTTAAAAAATACTAAGTTTGTGTTAATCTACCAAGAATTTTGTGTATCTTGATGTAATATTAGTTCTGTTGAGAGTGTCTTAACTGAGCACAAATACATGTAGAGTTTACTTAGGCTTGACTCAGTTCTCATAGGCATTTCACAGCTATCCTTACCATCATGATAAGAGTGATGCTAAAGCATATTTCCTCAAATCTGAAGTAATCAGTGTGCAAGGGAGTGGTTTTAGAAATTTAGATAGCAGTGGAAATCAGAGAGGCATGTGGAGTATTTTGCTGATGGCAAACTCAAACATTCTTTGTAGCTGAGAAAGATACCACAGTGTATCATGTACTGAGAAACATGGGTCTTTGAAATTATCACTGCTGTTTTCTGTCCCAGGCAGCGATTCTGTATTTCTCCTGTTTGAGGGAAGACTAGTGCTTTGCTAGGTGGTCTGTCTTGCACAAAAGCAAGAGTGACATTAGAGGCAAAAACACAGCAGCACTGTGGGAGCTCGGAGGAAGGAGGTGTTTTGGGCTGGGCTGAAGATTCTTGAAGATTGGCTCAGAAGCATGAATCTGCTTGTGAATGACTTGGAGACTTGCACTATCAGAATATTGTTGTTAGTAAGCAGTTTCTTAAAAGATGCCTGCCTGTGTCATCTGCATAAGTGGTGGGTTTCATATTGGTCAGCTCACGTGTAAAACGCAGTTTTTCTTCTTCCATGCAGACACGGGGAACATGGAGGTACTGCACCTGTACGGAAGCGAGGAGCAGAAGCAGCAGTGGCTGGAGCCTCTTCTTCAAGGGGACATCACCTCTGCCTTCTGTATGACAGGTAAAGGCGGATCACCCCGAGAGTGGTCCGTCATCCTGAACTGACAGGCGAGCTGAGGAAGCGGGGGGGAGGGTGGCTCTGCATTTCGCTCACATTTGCCTAGGGCCAAACATGTCAGTGTTTGTTTTGAGCCCAGTTTTGAGGTGAATCATTTTTAAATGTGCAGAATAAACGTGCCCGCCTCTGTGGGAGGGCATCAGCTGATGTCTTCCAGTAGCCTACCTTAACCTTTGTGGCAGAGTAAACCTAGTCTCATAATCTTTTAACTTGCATTTTTAAAAGTGCTCTTTGGATATTTAAGATTATTTTTACTCTGATGTGTGAGATACTCATCTTTGGGATAATTTTATAGTGATATAAGATACTCAACTCTTCCATAGGTCTAGAAAAACAGAACTGTAACCATTGCTGGACACATGGCTCAAATTATAATCCTGTGGGAAATAAAACTGGGAAACAATAAATATGGCTTCGTTACCATTTGTACATAGAAAACAGTAATTAACAATTCTTTAAAAGACAAAAGTCATTATCATTTTATGATTCCATATAGAATTATTAAACTGAGTGCTGTTTGGGCAGAATTCTCCAGTGCTTTTAATGACAGCCAGAGTTTGTTTTCTGTAACAGTTATAAGAAGAAAGCTGGCTTTCATTTAACCCAATAACAGGCATTATTGAAGACCTGCAGCATAATGTGTTCTTTCACTGTGGGTTACAAAATATATACAGAGTGCCCTTTCTCCAAAAATGTCTCACGTTTCAGAAATAAAATATGTAAATATCCGAAGGACCCATTTAAAAGAGTAACATATTAATAAGTGCAGATACTATAAGAACTATCCAGTTCTTAAATGCCATACAGGAAAGTAGTTATTTTAAAAAAAACTTTCTGGAGACCTTAAGTGTTGAGCAGACTATAACAAACGCAAGGTGTATAAACTGAGGACTGCCTCCCCAGTGGATCTTGTAAGGCACAGCGAGAAATTGTTTAAGATACTAAACATATAGTGGGGAGACCTGGCTTGCCAATATTTAGTACAGACTTCCACTGTGAGAAGTCAAAGACAGTATTTTAATCTATGTTTGATGTTCAGCTAAATGACTAAGTGACTTGTGTCCTGAGTTAGATATCAGAGAGCGAGCTAGGACACTATTCAGAATACCGATCCCCAGTATTCCACAGACTTCATTCATTCATTTGCTCTCCCATTGAATGTTTATTGAATACCTACAATGTGTAGGTTAGGAGAGGACCGGAGAAGGTAAGGATGCCTATGTCCTCAATCTGCACTCCTGAATCTAAGCCTCTTGTGCAAAATAATGATGTCTGCCTGCCTATAAATTCAACTTTTGTTTATTTATAGAGCCTGATGTAGCTTCAAGTGATGCCACAAATATTGAATGCAGCATTGAACGAGATGGAGATAGCTATGTAATTAATGGCAAGAAATGGTGGAGCAGTGGTAAGTGTTCGGGGTAAATGTTTTACTCATCAGATCAATCCTCAGCAGAATAATGCTGTGATTCATAGTTATTAGTTTCACGATCATAATTCTTTAAATTCCGCCTTTGAAAGCATGCTCAGTTTTAGAAATAGAGGAAAAATAATTGTAAAAAGATAAGCTCAACACATTATTAAAACTAATATACTGTGGGGTGAGGGCGTAGCTCAGTAATAGAGCTCATGCTTAGCACACACAAGGCCTTGGCACTAAATAATAATAGTAATAATAATTTGTGGTACATATTTTTATTACTTGAAAGTCCAAATGTTTCACTGAAAAATAAGAAATTTTATACATAGGATAACATTTGTTGGCCAACTTCCACCAATAGACACATATTTTATAACTCTAGGAAGTTAAAAAAGACTCGACCTCATACTATTCTAACATGGTAATTATTCCTTGAATATACATTAGAAACCTAATGTTTATTAAGATAATTAGTTATTACTAAATAAATTTGACATCATAAGCAAGCTATGTGTTTAGGAACTTACCAGGAATGTATAAAGGCACCAGAAGAACTTAAGGTTTTTATTTGTTTTTTGGTCAGTTGTTATTCTTTCTGGAATTTTGTAAAATTACTTACCAGTTAAGAAACAGCAAAAAGATTAACTTTTGCTGTACAGTTATTCAAGTTCTAAAATTATGCAGAGGAATTTTTCTTATATTATAATTTAGAAAATTAAAAATAATTATAATTCCTCTTAATACAAGCACCTCTATGAATAGGTTTTAGATTGCCATATTGCAAATTTTTTTAAAAAATTATTTTATTTTGAAATTATTATAAAGTCACAGGGAGTTATAAAGATAGTACAGAATCATCCTGGGTATCCTTCCTCCACGGATGGACTGAATGGTTGAATTCGGTATAATGTGTTTGTAGAATTCTGAAACATTACATCACACGTGTAGATTTGTGTAACAACTACTGTAATCAAGACACAAAACTATTCCTTCACCTCTCAAGAGCTTCCTCTCATAGCACAGTGCTTTAATTTATGCCTGTTACTAATACTTTCCTATATTGTTCAGTTTAATTTTCATGTTTTTTATGTTTATTGTTCCCTCTTCTTGGCTTCTGTCCTCTCCCTCCCCACAGCTGCTTTTTTGTGATAAATTGCAAAAACAGTGTTTGATGTCTGAGTTTCAGAATAATGCACATGTTCTATCTGGAGAAGCTTCATTCATGTGCATCCAAGCAGAAGACAGAGCATGTTGCATTTAAATGGTAAAAGAACTTGTCGGCTCTGTAGGACCCTCTGAATCAAAAGGAATCTCCTCTGTATTTTGTCTCTGTCTTCTCAAGGACCCATATTTCTTGGCCACTTTCATGATGTAGTTTTTAAACGAGGCTCCCATGAAAACATAGAGGATGGGGTTGAGGCAGCTGTGGAAGAGTGCGATGCTCTCTGTGATCTGGATGGCGACATCCATGCGCTTGCTCGTGTCGCAGTCAGTGATCAGGGCGTAGATAATGTCTATGGCCTGGCAGAACTTGACGATGTTATAAGGCAGCTGAGTGACAATGAAAACTATCACCACCGTGAACAGAACTTTGAGGGGCCGAGACTTTTTGATGTTGGGCATCTTCAGGAGCGTCCTTGCTGTAAGAGAGTAGCACACGCCCATGATGAGGAAAGGAACCACAAACCCGAGGCAGATTTCCAGCATTTGAATGGACGCTTTCATCGACGTTCCTAGGTGGCGGGGAAAGATGGGGATGCACCTGCTGTTGTCATTCACCGTGTTGAAAACCAGCTGAGGGATACTCAGCAGGACGGCAGCCATCCAGACACAGGAGCAAATGACCCAGCAAGGTCTTCCCACTCCCGCTTGGCTGGGGGCCATAGTGACTGCCCAGTATCTGTCCACGCTGATACAAGCCAGAAACTGCATTCCCGAGACAAAGTTCACTGTGTACAAGGCTGAGGTTACTTTGCACATCATCTTCCCTAACACCCACCCGTGAACTGCATTGACGGCCCAGAAAGGCAGGGTGAACAGGAGGAGCAAGTCAGCCACGGCCAGATTCAGGATGTATGCGTCTGTCTTGGTTCTCTGTTTCTTGTAATAGGCATAAATTGCCACCACCACAGAGTTGCCTGCAAGCCCAGTGATGAAAGCAACCGCGAAGAAGGCAGGGAGGAAAACTTTCGCAAACTTCCTGACCTCTTCCTTCACGCAGACCACTTCGTACTGGCTGTAGTCGTGAGTGCTGTTCATTTCGTGCTCCTCGTAGTAGTAATCCGCTGACTGGTTCTGCTCCAAAGCCATGGTTCTGATCTGGATGACAAAAAGAACGCAAGATACTAACTTAGTGTTGCTTACAGGGAGGCAGCTTTTGCCTAGTGTGCGTTTTGCTCTTTCCCTAGAGAACAGATGGTTGCTGTAGCCTGTGTGAGCCGGAATCTCCACTCTTTGCAAAGCTTTAGTGGGGGTATGGACTGTATCTCTAAGATTAGTGACCGCCCTGTGTTTGTACAAGTCTGTGCGCAGCTCTGGGATCCTCACAGCAAGGGTGAATGGTAGCTCTGGAAACTCTCTTTATAATTAAATCCTGAATCACATTGAAGACTCGTATGTAAATGTAGATATAACAATTTTAAGATATAAGAATTTAATCAGATTTCAACTAAAGGGAATTTTAAAATGTTCTCATTTTAACATGTGTGCTTCGGGAATCTTATAGGGTATATCTGCAAAACAGTAAATTTAAAAATGAAAATAAATTAATAATTGAATTTAACAATTAAAATTAATAATTTCAAAAATTATTTTATTTGTGTTACTAACTTATAAATTTATTTATTTTTTTTTTTTTTTAATTTTTTTTTTTTTTTTGGTTTTTCTCCGGTACCAGGAACCGAACTCACGACCTTGCGCTTGCCAGGCAAGCGCTTTTGCCGCTGAGCTAAATCCCCAGCCCCCTAACTTATAAATTTAATCTAAATTAGTTACATTATTTGTACTGAATTTCACTCATTGCCTTTTGTAAAACAAGACCTCCGTTACTCGGCCTCCCTCCAGACTCCGACCCACTTGCTCTTCACGTACTGTTACCGGTAGCACCGTCAGCCCCTCGACCTCTGGGCTTCTTGGCTTCTCTCCTCCCTTCACCTCTGACTCCCATTCAGCCGGTCAGTGCTGACTGTACCTTCCAGATGAGTCTCAGAGCTCTCCCCCTCTCCCAGTCTGCGCTGTGTAGTCCTCTGTACCGTCTGACTCTCACGTTTCCCCCCGGCCCGCTGCAGTTGCATCCTAGCTGGCGTCCTGTTGTTATGCCTCCTCACCACCTCCTTTTGAAAAACGTTTTTCTTATTGCTACCGGTGTTCTATTTCTAGATTGCCAATCTGCCGGCGCCCTGGTAGCTCCCTACCTGGAAGACATGTTGCCTTCCCTGAAAGACCCAATCCCGGTGCCTTAGCCTTGCTACCCAAGTCTCCCTGTGTGCTGTGGTCTCCCCTGCAGCTGCTGCCCTGTCCCCACTTTGTGCCCCGTGTGAGGGTAGTCACATGCTGATTTCCAGACACACGCCCTGCTACTGCTGATGCCCACATCTTGCTCATCCAGCTCTTTCATCGCTTTCTCATCGCTCCTTTGCAGAGTGCATTGCTACTCAATTAACCTCCTGTGAGGGCTTCCTGATCTCGCACGTGCCGTCCAGAGAATAGCCCGTGTTCTGTGCGGAAGAAAGATGTGTTCGCCCAATTGCCCAATTGCCTTGTCCCTCTAGGCTCCAAATTCCCCAAACTATGGCCTGTTTGATCTGTGATTGTAATTAAAGCTTATTAGCACGCCTGGCACACACTAGCTGGTCAGTAAGCATTTGCCAAACTGAAGGTTTTGCCAACAGGTATAAAACTGTTACTCTAGTATGGATGACATACCAGGAGCCTCGTACCTCAGTGTTGAATTACTGTGCTATGTTGCTAACAGCACCCCACAGTACTATGATCAGCTTGCACAGAAGGCCCAGGCCTCACAATGCACATTATGACTCTCAACATTTTTATTATATTGCTGAGGGGTTTTTTTTTTCTTTAGCCTTTCTGTTTCCTTTGGTTAATTTTGTTCTTTGAAGAATCTCAAGTAACCTTATACTTATTTAATTTAACAATTAAAATTAATAATTTCAAAATTCTTTTATTTGTGTTAAAAAAATAATATTTTCAAATGTGTTAACTTACATGGTTCATTTTCAAAAGAAATGTCTTAAAGTTGCTAGCTTTTTATTTTTTTTACTTTTTTTTTTTTTTTTGGTACCAGAATCGAACTCACAACTTCATGCTTGCCAGGCAGATGCTGTGCCGCTGAGCTACATCCGCAGCCCTATTATTTTTCTGATTTTCTTTGGTACACATTTGTAGTACATAGTAACTACATTCATCCTGGGCCAGCCTTTTTTGAATGAGTAAAGCAAAGTCAAGGTTGTCCTTTAAGGAAAAGTACTAAAGGAAGATTGCTTTCCTTATGCAAAAGCCAAGAACCAGCACTTTAAAATAACCAGTCTATCATTAAATTATTCGAAAAATTCCAACCCAGAAGACTACCATGGTCTTCATACTTTTTATGAATTAACTATTAATACAATATGAACTTTGTTTGTTTCATGACAGAAATCTTGAACCTGATGATAAAGAATAATATGGCCAAATAATGTAAGATTGAGCAAGAATATTTTGAAGTAATAATCGTACTAAAAAGTCAGTAATAAGAATAGGAATGGAAATTGCCTGCAGAAAAGATACTTCTGGCAGATATATGGAAAGACATTTAAGTGTTTTTATAATGATTATAAAAAGAAAACATGTTTATTTAAAAAGCAGAAAAGTCATATAGCAAAACCTGTTTTCTCATTCACAAAGTTTTACAAATTAGTAATGATATAGAAAATAATATTTTCATTCTATATTCAGATTTTCAAGGGTGAAGTATATACAGCTGCTTTAAATAGCTCTTTTTGTGCATGAAAATGTTTAAACGTTTATGCATCAAATCTCCCACTACCTAGGTAAAAATACAAACATCTTTGGGCTTTAAAAATACTATATCTGAGTCAAAAGGAGAAAAGAACAAACCAACCTGTTTTCAGCCAGCAGAGAGAAGCAGTCTTGAGTGCAGAGAGGAAAATCAAATGACTCCTCTAACACGGGCTGCTACTTTTGTTTTCGTTTTACACTCCGCCTTAACGTTGGATCCAGAGGACTTTCCAAAGGAAATTTAACCTTATGAGCACATGGCTTTTACTTTATGCAGAACCGTCCTGTGAAGTTACATCTAAGTTCTTGAGTATCCTAGGATACACATTTGAAAGAATTCCAGCTTGTTTCCAAAATCACAGATCTTTCACTTTCCGCTGAGCCGAAGAGAACAAGCAAAAGCCTGCAGCTGCTCCCTGACTGACTGCTAAGGCAAAACCAGATTCTCCCAGGAGTGTGCAGACAGCCCAGCCCTTACTTGGTAGCATTTAGAGAAATCCTCTCCCAGGTTATTTTGTCTAGGAAATAAAAATATTTTAACTCAGAAGATTATCTTTTTAAAGACTAAATTATCAAAGATGAAATTATGGATAATCATTAACTAGAACTTAATCATTTTATGACATATCACTTAATATTTTACTTAAACTGCTAGGCTCCTGGCATCTCTGTACTCTTTCATCTGTGATCTCACCTGTGCCTTTAGCTTTCAATTCTCTCGCCTTCCTATAGCCCTTCTCTCCAAAGACCAGAGTACAAACCTTCAAAAGCCTGCTGTCTGGGAGGCTGTGTAGCTCCCCAGGCTTCCAGACAAATGAAAGAGAAAGAGAGACATTAGGGAGACGTGCGCTGGTGGTCCCCTTCAACCTCAGTCTTCACATTTGCATGGCTGTTGCCTTATTTACTTTGTTATGCAAGGCCAGCCTCACTCTCCACCTGCAGGAGTAATTTTAGACCCAGGCCATTTTCCCCCAGCTGACTGGGCTAACCTTTTTCATTAATTCACAGGAAAACAGCCCCTTAGGCTCGCCTGCATCCTCTTTCTCCTCCTTGAGGGCAGTGTATGTCTGAGCCAGTTTCTCGTCCTACTTTATGCCAGAGCATCACTGGGGTGCAATTAGATCAGCTCAGCACCTATATTTGTAGCCTTTGCCATTGTTCATGGTACACATTGTCCCACCACGGCCAATCTCACACTCTCAAAGTCAAGTCACATGTGCCAAGTTGCAAAGAGGTGAGTGTGATTAGCACTGCTGAGCGGTCTAGCGTTGCTGTAGGAGGCCTGCCTTCCTGCCCTCACGGATCATTCTTCCAACCCCTTGCTGCCTTCTGAAGGACATTGCTCTTAACGTTTTTATCACTGCTTTAGCTGGACTGTCTGGTCTTTCCCATTCTCTTACTGTTTATTTTTCTCGATCATCTATATATTCCTGCCTAGCATACCCTTCCCACTCCACTTCAGATTCCTAGCTCCTGTTCAGGATCAGACTCAGGTCTGACCTTAATATTAATTACTCCAGGAATCCTTCCATAATCCTCCCAAATTAGATCAGACAGTGCCACCTCTTCCTTTGCTCTTACAGGACCATCTCTCTCTGTTGTTAGTGCTTATGATTTCTTTCTGTCTTCCATCTGAGAATACTGAAAATACTGAGAGAATACTTCAAATACTGAGAATACATGCATTCTCAGTATTTACCTTGGAATTTTACCTCATAGTGTCAGTTTACGGAATAATAAGTACATACATGAATCAACAAATCAGTCAATGTTTAAGTAACTTGTCCTGCACAGATATACAAGGTTCATACTGCAGGTGAAATTTTGATTTCACAACTTTAGTTTTAGATTTTAGTTTTATCATGCTATCTCTTACACGTTTTTAGTATTCCATGATGCCATCTATTCTAGAGTCTTAAAATTGTTTTATAGATACTTCAAAGTATCGTTCTTTCCCTTGTTTACCTGCCCCAAACAACCACATGCTCTCTTATAAATTAGACTCCTGTCCTGTATGTCGGTTACGGTGCTGCAATCTTTACATCTTTTGAATTTGCAAGTATTCACTCACACAAATACTGACCCAGCCCTTAGGGCACACAGGACATCAGAACTGAAGTGAGCTGCTGCTGCTGCTGCCGTAGAGTGAGCTCTACCTGTGTGAGTCATGGTGGCACTAGCTCACTGTTGGCTGTATTTTCTCTGTTCCTCTTCTCCACACAGAACTAAGACAATGGGTGGTAAGAGGGGAAATTTGCAAAACATGAAGGTCATGTAGCTTTAGAGGGTAAGTTGAAGCATCACGTACCTTAAGCAGCTTTTTAAAGTACGTACTTGATGTTTCCTCAATGCCATTTTTCTGTACCTCTCTTCCATTTCTTCCCATGGCCCTAACTGAGTCATTATGATTCTAGTTTTCTCTAAATGTAATACCCAAATGATTTCTTGCCTTAACATAATGTGTCCTTTTCCTAAAGAATCTTTCTCCTCTCATCCAGTTCTTATGTTTCCTCTTGTACTGTTAACAGTGACAGATGTTTGATTAACTACATACTGTATGTCACTGTGAATATCACTGATACTGAGACATATATTGGACACAACTTAGATGACTTTATCATTTCTCCTTAGCATCCATCCTGTGTTGAATTCAGATTGTATCAGTCTTTCACAACACATTGTTACTTAAAGCGTATATTATTTTCAACTCACTTTAAATGGCATTTTCAGTAGCTAAAGAATATTTTATTGCACGGTTTATCATAATTTACTGTATTGTGTTCCTGTAACTGAATTTTTAGATTATTTCCAGCATTTTATTATTACAAAAATATTATGGAGAGTATTTTTGTAAATATTGTCAAAAGGAATTTAATCTCACAAAATCATTTTGAAGAATATGACTAACCATATATAATCATCCTTTTTTTTCTTACACCAAAAATAGTGTTTCATACTGTCCATACTGAATAATAATCCTGGACTTCCTCCATGTTGTTGCATGAAAAGTGTCCTTATTTATTTTAGAAGAGTTTCATTGTTTAGACGTGCCACATTAGACTTCAAAAGTCTCTTACTGGTAGACATTGGTTTATGTCCAACTCTTTGCAAATACAAGCAATATCACTGCAGTTAATAATCTCGTGCATCTGTTATTTCCTACAAGAACGGCCGTATTTCATGTTGACTCCCAGTGGTCTTTTTTTTCACTTTGCTTTGTCTTGTTTTTGTTTTTTGTTATTGTTTCCTGAATTGTTTGAACCCAGGTCCTCGTGTATGTGAGGCAAGTGCTCTACCACTAAGCCACCTCCTCAACCCTGAAATACCGTGTTCCTAAGAGAAGCCCTAGAAGTGGGATTGATGGGTGAAACATTGCATACGTTTGTAATTTTGATGGCAGGGCCAAATTGTACTGGGTAGGAATGGTATTTCTCTCCCACCAGTTATGTATGAAAGGCCTATTTCCCTAAAACCTTGCTAGTGGAATGTATTTTGCTAACATGTTGCTTTCTATGCTTGATCTTAGCTGAAAGGCCTAGAAGCTATGACTAGCAACATATACGGTGTACTTTTCCATACCCATGTGTGAAACATTGGGCAATAAACTGATGTTGAATATTATCTTTGCCAGTTAATAGGTAAAATGGTATTGCACTATTATTTTATTCTATATTTATTTCATTAGTGGTAAAGTTGAACACTTCAAAAATCTGTTCAACCCATTTATGCCAAAGATTGAAATTTTTTTGAATTTTTGCATGAAATGTATATATGTTACCTAGAAAAATTCAAGGAACAAGAATTTGAAGAGAACACATTTCATTTATGTTATGGAAATGGATCACTAGGCATGGAGGGATTAGTTATTATTTCTTCTTTTTGCAAATTTGCTCTTTGTCTTCACACTGATCTTCAAGTGTTCTTTATATTTTGAGGATAAAAGTATTCTAAATATTTTACCACAGATGTTGAAATATTTTTCCTTTTTTTTGCTTTTAACGTATAACAGTTTTACATAGATAAACCAATTGATCATTTCCTTTAAAACTTAAAATACTTTTCCACATAGAGATTTAATAAATGTTAACTTTTTCTTCTTTTTATAGGTTAATTATTTAACTTTTTAAAAAATTCAGCTCTAATCTGTGTGGATTTTTTTTTCTTTTTGTATTACTGGGTATTAAACCCAGGGTCTTCATAATGACCTATATCACCAGCCCTTTTGATTTTTATTTTTTAAAATTTTGAGACCTAGTCTTGCTAAGTCACTAAGTGGCCCAAGCTGATTTTGAACTTGCAGTCTTCCTGCCTCAGCCTCACAGAGTTCTAGGCCTACAGGCATATGCCACCACACCAAGCTATTGGGGATTTTTGACTTGGGCATATTCTATGATGCAGGAGCAATAGCAGAAGCATGTAGAATTTACTGAATATTTATTATTTAGATATAAGCTTTTCTGAGGTAATTTCAGTGACTGTCAAAAGGTATTTTACCCCTCAAGCATAATACATGCTCCAAGTGAATGCCTGGGAATATTCCCTTAATCATGGGTTGTATGATAGATATTTCTTGTAACTTGAAAGTTTATTATGAAATAGTAATTAACTAATAATACTTTAATTCTACTTTGAATTGTTAATATTCAATTTGTACCCAAAAGAAGTTTAAGTATCTTACCCCAGAAATCCAATGTTGGCAGAAGTAACAGGCCAAGACTTTGTGGGTAGCAAACTGTGCTTTATATTAACATCATCATCTGCATCACCTTCTGAGCTGCTTCGGGCCACATCCGTGTGCAGTGGTCATCTTATTCCTCCAGTTGTCCTCTTTCCTTTTGTTAGGAAACGACTTGGATAACCATGAGGGTTCAAAGTGAAGAGAGTATTCTGAAGAGGATTAAGGACAATGTGTCTTGCACTCTAATTTTTTTAAAGTTAAACACTTTACTGTATTTTTGATTGTTTCGTTTTGTTTTTGTCTTTTTGAGACAGGGTCTTGCTATGCAGTTCATGTTGGCCTTGAGCTCACTTTATAGCCCAGGCTGACTTCAAACTCACAGCGATCCTCCTGCCTCAGCCTCCCAAGCGCTGGGATTTCAGGCGTGCGCCACCACATCTGGCCAACCATGTGGTTTTAAGAGCCCTGGAAGTTAACATTCATCAGCAGAGAATATCAGGAAGATACAGCTTCCAGCCTGGCTTAACCTTGGCACTCGAATAGTCTTGAAATTCCAGAGTCTGGATTAAAAACAAAGCCATTTCGTCCATGTCATCTGTTCTCATTCATGAAGGCCTACAATAGACATGTTGAAATGTTCTCTGGACTACACATATTTCCTCGATATATTTCATTTCTGACATTTTACATCCTGTTCATTAACTAAAACAGTGTACAAAAGCAAAACTTCTCCGGAATAGAGGGTGTTTCAGTTGTTGTACCTGCCAAATTCTGCTTATAGCTAAAAAGAGATGATGTATTTATAAGGATTTTTTTCTCTTATTTTTCTGAAACATCAAGATTAAGCAAAAATATTTTGAATTTTATAAACTATTCATTCACCCTTATTTCCCTAATGTAATGATCATAAAGAAAGCCAAGTTAGATGTTTCAGGTTTTAGAATCTGAATTGTTCTCTATGTTAGACTGAGCGAGGCAGAATTAAAGAACCATTTGCCTTGTTTTTTGAATTTCTTAAAAATTTACCTGCTATCTGAAATCTATTGTACATGTATTTAAAGGTGCAATAACAATTTTTCCATGGTAGAACAAGGCAAGAATGATATTAGAAAATATTAGAGAAAAAAGTGATGTATTCTGAGTATTAGAAAAGGGGGCTTTGGACCAGAGTTCAAAGTTACTTGCTCAGAATTTTATTTAGGAAATTCTAGGTTATTTCCATTGCATAGTTTTCTCCATTTATAAGGGGTGATCAAAAATACAGTGTTTAACTTTAAAAAAATTAGGGTGCAAGACACATTGTCCTTAATCCTCTTCAGAATACTCTCTTTACTTTGAACACTGTTACCCCTCATTCCTGCCACTTTCCTAAAGCGGTTCTAGAAGTCCTTTTTAGTGGGTGTCTTCATGCGGTGTGATCAGAAATTCAGTAGTGCTGTTACTGAGTGCCACCCAGCAGAGAGGCAGGCTCATAAAATAATATGCATGCCCTCATCCACGTTATTCACTGGCACTGGCACCGCAGGACTGCTGCCTCTTCCCCAGAGTCAAAGTGACCACGAAAGATAAACGTTTTGAACTGATTCAGGTTACTGAGGCAGCCATACCAGCACAACTAAAGACATAAAGAGGATCTCCCCAAACCACTTCAGAAAGTGGCATGAACAAGGAGGATCTAAACGTGTGCAGAGTGAGGGCGAGTATTCTGAAGGAAATTAAAGGCAATGTGTCTTTTGCTGTAATAAAGTTTTAAAAATTTAAGTGTACACTGTATTTTTCTATCACACTGTAGTACCTCTTCAGTTAGACTGAGAATGCTATGAAAGCCGTAATGGTACTCTTACTTTTAAATAAATCCAGACAGTACATCATTTCCTTACACATATTTCAGTATGTCTCTTAGTAAGGACTCCTTTATACATATTATAGGAGGTGGTCATAAGATGCAGTGAGTGTTGAAGTAAGCCCTCTGCTGCTGTTTGTGGCTGTGTAGTTGGGAAACCAACTCCACGGTAGTTTCCTTCAGGAACTGGGTACTTAAGATTTGTGGCAAATATGAAATCTACTTCTTCGCACAAAGCCCCTAATGAGAAATCCTTGTAACTCCTGAAATGGGATTAAATAAAATTTTGCATTATGAGAAATGAGAAATACCTTATTTTGGCAAATTTCTGACCCTTACTAAATTAATAAATGAGAATTCAGGTCTTTTGTCTTCATATACGTGGGCAGATAAAATATTTTATTAGCTACGTATAATTTATCTTATGTATGGCACATAGCTCTATCAGACATACTGTCCCACCCTTCCTAGCATGCTGCCGTCTGAATGGTGGGACAAGACAGCCGTCTTTTTGTCTGAAGGGTCACGGCTGTTCTGTGTTTCTTTGACTACTGGTTGTTTGTGTGCAGCTGCTCTCATTGATGGAATCCAATCTTGTCCTCGCCTAAGCATTTTTCTTGGGTGACACACAGTGGTGTACAACAAGGATTATTAATTTAACAAGTCAAAGGTTTTTCCCATCTGTTTTTTTGCCAGAGACAAACTTGGAAGGATTGGGTGAAATGTCAAATGAGAAATTTCTTTTTATAACATATTCTGCTCATTTCCCCCTGCTTTTAGGAGCCGGGAATCCCAAGTGCAAAATTGCAGTTGTTTTGGGGAGAACTAAAAGTCCTACTGAGTCCAGGTAATAAAGCATTCTGATTGGGAAATCTGTTAGAGACAATTCAACCTTTCCTTTTGTCCACTTAATTTACTTACAGCATTTGAGCTCACAAATCATAATAGTATAACATATACTGTGTAATTAAATATTTGCAGATCACAGATATTTTGCTAAAAGAGAGATCTGGAAAACATCTTAGACAATGTTGCTGTATATTCTTCCCTGAAGAATTTCTGGCATTAGGAAGTGTTACAGAATCATCTAGCTGTTTGGATTGGATATTAGATAGAACATTTTTCAGACTTGTCTATGATACTGACAGGATTAGATGTCTCTGTCAAAGGCCACAGCCTGGCAATGTTTCCTACAGACTTTCCCGGTTACCATTGTTGAGCAGAGACCCCAAACAACTTTCACTTATTTCCACATCACTGTTTTCATTCCCGATCACAGCCTGATCAGACTGTGCCAAGTGCGTCTTTTACACAGCTCACACTCTAGCTATGGTTGTCTTTGTGGCTACATGCTAACAACACTTCATTCTCTTAGCAGACTTTTCCTGTTTTTTCTTTTCACTAGACACAAACAACACAGCATGATTCTCGTTCCAATGAACACACCTGGAGTAGAATTAATAAGGCCGTTGTCAGTTTTTGGCTACATGGGTAAGTACGAAACATGAATGTCCACCCATTAGCAAGCAGAAGACTAGAATCTGGAGTAGCACCGAAGGGAATAGATAGTATTTGAATGTAGGAGATGTCATCTTGGGAATCCCTTTGGCCCTGGCAGCTCTCTTGCTGTGCAGGTGGAGTTGGAGATGGTGCTCATAAAGAGGCACCACGTTCGCCCTCACTTGGTTTACTGTTTGGAAAAGAGCAGGTTGTCTTTAAGGAACAGCAACTTTAGCTGCCTGTCTTCTCTCTCTTGTTTATGAATATGGGTTAACAAAACAGATACAGATAAAGTAAATCAAGGCAGCCTACAGTAGGATTAAATTTTTGTCTCCATGTTCAACTTTTCAATTAATCTTTCAGAGCTGTTAAACCGAAGTTGAGTTTTACCTTATTTGAGTGTAAAGCTTTTCCTTTCTTCTCTTGGGTATAATTTTTAAGAAACAAGGTTACTTTTGTTACCGACCGCACACACTTTGTTGGGTCCATGCTCTTCAGATCGTCCACTCAGCAAGTTTATGGAGCACCGAGCACTGTTCGAGGTCCTTGGGGCACATTAATAAAATCAGTAGACTAAGTTTCTTGCCCTTCTGCAGCTTACATGTTGCTGGAAGGAAATAAATAATAACGAGAAACATGGAAGCAGGTAAAGGATATAGCATGTCGCCAGGTGATGATGCTATGAAAAAGCTGACTGAATTTCATGTTCCTTTTCTCCATGGCTTTCTCTCTCTTGCTGAATGTGACTGATACATATGTTTGAACAGCAGAATAAGAATTGCAGCTTTATAGAACGTTTAACACCATAACCTTCTGTGAATGCCACTCTAGGATATGCTAAGTGAGGGGACAGATGGGACATACAGCTCGCAGGAGCAGATTACACATAGGAAGTTGGCGGGCTGCACAACAACCTCCTGAAAGACACCGAAATGAATTCAGAATGAAGGTGCCACTGCAGACCTACTTTTGAATTTTCAGTGTGAAAAATTAACCAGCATCTGTCCACTTCCGTATATATAAGGCCGAAAGAGACAGTGTGGGGAGGGCTGGTCATTAGTTCTGTTGGGAGAAGAGGTGGGGTCCACGTGAGGCTGTCTTTAGAACATGCTGAGGAGGAAGAGTGCTTCCAAGAGAAGGGAGCGAGTCTGCTCCCAGCCTCACGGGCCCAAACGCCCGCATTTTCAAGTGCGATGAGTGGAACGAGGCAAACACAGAGCGACGCGCCGGAGTGATGGCACCGTCTCTGCTTCCTGCCCACGCTGAGCCTGCCCTGCCCCTCCAGCAGGCCCTTGGCATCTTCGGGCACTGTGGGCCATCATGATGAAATAAGAAATTTGAGTGTATAACTCATTTTCAATTTTTTAAAACACTGAATCTTCCCCCCAACACACAAGCAAAATTCCTTTGGGATCCCATAAAAACTTGAAGTTTGTAGTCTTGTTAGAGTGTGAAACCCAGCCTTCGTTTTCCACGGCTCTACAGTTTCAGAGAATGAATTAGAAAACCTCTGAATCCAGTGCTTTGTAAAATCTTTCCTAACTCAGACAAGTGGTAAGTTTTCAGGACTGCTGGTGCTGCGTGTTCTGGGCTAAGATCTACCTGGGAATGTCATCACATATGGGTCTTGTAGAGCCTACTTTCTTTAAGTACTTGTACTCCTGAAGAGTAATTATACTTCTCTTTTTTAGTCAGCTCATTTGTGTCTTTAAAATTTTATGTTCTGTTTTATAGATTATTTACATGGAGGACATTTTGAGGTCCATTTTAATCAAGTACGAGTTCCTGCTTCCAATTTAATACTAGGTGAGATACACTTGGTAAAAACTGTTCTTTGGTATTGTCTCTTAGTACTTTCAGGATTAAATCTGGAAAAAATATCCAGTTGGCTTCTAGATACCTTCTATTCTTGTTTCCTCCATTTATCAAGAAAAAATTTCCATTTTGTAAATTTTCGTACATGAAATGGTAAAGTTTTGTTTACATGTTAGATGTGGTTTTGTGTATCACATCAGTTAAAAATACAGCTAAATATAAAAGCTAACCAATTCAGAGCAATGTATTTCTCCTAAGGTACAATCTGTTTTAGAAAACCTTAATACTTTCTGACTTCAAGTCTTACATTCAAAGTAGAAGAATGAATACCTCTGAACACTGCACTCTTAAAATACAGTGTTACTGAACTCATATTGGATTCCACCTGACCTTCAAAGAAATTTTCAAATCCCATCTTTTCATGAATGTTTTGTGTTTCTGATCTCACTCACTGAACAAGCCCCCGATCCCTGCCCAGCCCCAGGGCTGCAGAGGGCTACACACCGGCCCTCCTGTGCCTTTCTTGGTCGCTCCATCTCTGTAGCCCTTGTGCTTGTCCCCTGAGTGGGGCCCCCGTCTTAGCCACTGTGTAACTAGTGAGCGCTGGTAAAGTAGCTTATGCACAGTGAGCACTCCAAAATCAGTTCTAAATGTGATTGAAATGTTTAATGAGGGTGGCTTTAAAAAACATAGCAATCAACATTCCCATAAATGAATAGTGAATCTTCAAGAACTGGTTTTTTCCTTACCAGAAGGCCATTTTATTGAGAACAGCTCATCATCTTCCCAAGATGTGTGTAAATAATGAAGGGAATGGACAGTTTTCATGTTCTTTCTTTCTCACAGGTGAAGGGAGGGGATTTGAGATTTCCCAAGGCCGCCTCGGCCCTGGCAGAATCCACCACTGTATGAGAACAGTCGGGGTGGCAGAACGCGCTCTGCAGATCATGTGTGAGCGGGCAGCGCAGAGGGAAGCCTTTCAGAGGAAACTGTATGAACACGTAAGGGGCTAACTTACTGGGACTCCTCTTAGCCCTGTGTACTACACTAGCCTTGAGCAGAAATATTAGTGTGCAAGATATACATATAAGGTGATTCTTTCCCATAAAGTAATGGTGGCAAACCTATGGCGTGCATGTTATTGTGTTTTTCTTTTAAGACAAAAGACATTAATGTAGAGTTGTTTTTTTCTAAACTAAAATTTCAGTATTCAGGTTTAATTATATTGTTGGCACTTTATGATAAATAAGTGGGTTTTGGGTTGTAGTTTGGCCTTTGGTCTATAAAAGGTTGGCTGTCACTGCCATAAATCATATTACGTCTGCATCTAATATAGTCTGGTGAGAAGTGTCTATTTCTGTGCAAAGTTAAGTAGGTCCAAGGTACTGCCACACTGGAGCACACAGCGTGGGCAGCGGCTTCATTCCTAGACCCTCTTTCTGCAGAGCAGCTGGTACCTTAAAGCTCTCTGTGCACAGGAAGAGGCTGTGCTAGGAAGACAGACCTGCCTTCTTTATTTTTCTGGAAGGAATTAGGACAGATAAGCGGAAGCTATAGGAAAACAGCCCAGAGCTCTATAAAAGGAGGAACATTCTGTAAGGGAGATTTAAAGATGGAACGGATTGCTTCAAAAAACAGTTTCCTGTTACTGGAGAAATGCGTATAGAAATCGGTACCAACATTTGGTGGGATGTTCATAACTTCTAAAATTTTCTTCTATAAATTATATACTACTGAGTGTTATACACAAACTGCTATACACACAGTTACGTGTAGGCAATATAATCAAAATTAGTAAATGCATATCAACAGGGAAAAGGAGGCATCATTTCAAACTTCCTAGGAAAGCTTTTCTTAATAGAAAATGGAATAGCCAAATCATCCCCTTACAAAGATCTTCTAATTTTTAAGAAAGTAAGAACTATTATTAAATATGCAACATTTATTACTGCTAACATGTTTATATTAAGTCAAACTTGTGTTGACAGAATTGTATTTGTGTTTGTTGGACAACTATATTTTAATACACTGATCCTCTTGTAAAATACATTTATGGTCTTCTTGTAAAATTATACAAAACATGGGTAGCACATACCTGTAATTCCAACACTCGTATGTTGGAGACAGGAGGATTCCAAGTTCAGACCTAGCCTGTGCAACGTAGTGACTTGGCAAAACCCTGATTCAGAAAAATATTTGCAGTGTATGTTTTACAAACTAAATTCTTAGCGGCTATGCTTGCTTCCTCTGAAGTATTACATGCTCAGTATAATAGTAATAGTTACTAATGCTAATATTCTGTGAAGTATTTATGCTTATTCAGGATAAAATTGGTTAATTTGCAACACTTTTGAAAATAAAATATAGCCTGCTTTATGGTACCATTCCTAGGAATAGTTTATGGGGAACCCTTTTAGTATATGGTAAGGGCAGGGCTTCAGCTCTTTATGGAAACAGAGGCAAAAAAGTGTGAGCTTTTGAGGTCATAGATGCGACTTCTTTTTATAAAGAATAGTTAAAAAAAGAACAATAGCAAAATACAAATAAAATAAAACAACCACATTAAGAATGACACAGGGCTGCAAAACAAAATGATAGGAATTAACGTGGTTGTTATATTATATAGATGCAACTTTTTTAAGAAGCTGGGATAGCCAGATTCTTCTCCAAAAGCCCGAAGGCTGCTGCTGACTAAAGAGTTGTTCATGGCTTCTTCCCTGTTGCCTTTTCAAGCTGTCACCAAGTAGGCCCTGGCGCAGGCAGGGTAAGGGAGGACACAGCAAGCTGCGGCCCAGGCAGCCTCAACGCAAAACAGCCTTCTGGCCAGGGGCTGTGGTCAGGAGCGACGTGTCAGTGCTGCACAGGAGAGGAATTTCTGTCCGGCCTTTTAAAGTTAATGTACCGTGCAGAACGTGCCCGGGCTTTGTAAAGAGAGGCCTCTCTTCCCTGGAAACCTCACATCTGGCATAAATAAAAGATCTGGCAGAAGCAAAGAGATATGTGAGCGTGTCATAAACAGTCATCCGGGCAAGCTTCTTCCCCCTAATTGTGACTTCAACAAATTCCATTTTCCTGAATCTGGAGACTCCTTCCAGCTGTCTGCCAGATTACTGTAGACTCTGAAGCATAAAGTTCAGTTTTAGTAAATGAATTTGGCAGTTTCCTAGAGTGCTCAGTTTCTACCCACTTAAGGCTTTTTGGCAAATCCAGGGTCTGTAGAGACGCAGCTGAGAACATGTTCTTTATTCTGTAGTTAAGGAGCAAATGCATTTAGAGTCTCTTCATGAAGCTGTAACGACCCGATTTTTCATCCTTCAGAAAAATACTCATTGGGTGCCAGTGTGTTTGAAATTGTTGATTTACAGCCAGCTGTAAGCCTCTGAGGCAGTGCTGTCCAGTAGAAATACACATGGAGCCACAAATGTCATCTCCTGCTAGCATAACAACAGTTTTAAAAAGTAGAAAGAAACAGATAAAATTAATTTCAAATTTTTATTTAACTCAATACTGTCATATCTCGGTTCATGAACACCTCTGTTTGCAAACAGTTTGGTTCACAAACGAAAGTGTTCAGCAACATTTTGCTTCCCTTCACAAACTCCACACCAGGTAACAAATTAAGTTCCTAAACCGAGGCACCTGTACCAAGAGGTGGCCACTTCAGTGTGAAGTCAGTATAAAAGTGGTACTAATGAGATAGTTTGCATCCTGTTTTGGTGCCATTCTTTAAAATCTGGCATATATTTTACACTTCTAACACAGTGCATTTCAGATTGGGCAGCTTTCAAGTGCTTGTGGTTAGCGGCTGTCATTGAACATCGCTGCTCAGGGAAGCCCTAAGCAAACATCCTCTGCTGGAAAAAACGTCTCAGAGCAAATAAAACCAAGCATAAAAATAACTGGCAAAGGTTAGTGTGGTTTGAATCAGCACTGTAGTGTTCTGCCAGCCTAATTTATCTAACAGGCATTATTCTTCATTTTAAGTAATTCTGTTTATAGTTTGGAGGCAGAAAGCCCAATTTGGCCAAGCAGAAGTGTTCAGTCTGTCCCCGAGGCTTCAGGGCTGAGGTATGAATCAGTTTTTATTTGTGAGGTTTGTTTTCCGTATTCTTCCTGATACCTCTTCACTTCCAAATTCTGCAAGCAGGAGAGACCTCAGCATGTTCAGTGTGCTAAATGAGAAGCCAGTACCAGTTTTGTATTACACCTTCTACCTGAGATGATTACGGATACACACACCCGTGTGGGAAATAACACAGAGATCACTTATACCTTTAACCCACTTTCCCCCAGTAATAGCGGCTTGCAAGACTGTAGTACGCTGTCAGAACCGGTGTTGTGGACACGGTTAGGATGCAGAAGTCTTCCATCACTTCCCTCTTTGCTCTCTCACCCACCTCCTCCACACTTCCTGGCACTCACGAACATCTTCATAATTTTGTTGTTACACGAATGGAATTGTACCGCACATAAGTCTTTGGGGTTGGCTTTTTTACCCTGCCTTACTCTCTGGAGCCTCTTCTAGGTTATGTTTATCAACAGCTGGTTCTTTTTTATTGTCTGGTAGCGCTCCCAGTATGATGTCCTACACTTTACTTGACTATTTACCTTGAGGGATATGTAGGTTGCTTTCAATTTAGTGATACTACAAAATAAAGCTGCTTAAACATTTTTGTGACTATGTGTGTGAATAGAGGTCTTCATTTTTCTGAGATAAGTTCCCAAGAGTGCGATTCTTAGATCATATGGTTAGTTGCCTGTTTAATTTTTTTTAAAGACTGCCACACTCTGTTCTGTATTTCATTCTCACCAACTGCATATAAATGGTCTGGCTTCTCCCCATCCTCCGTGAGCATATGGTGCTGTTGCATTGTTTTGTTTTGTTGTTCAGTCATCCTGATTGGTTTGCAGCAATATCTCAAGTGGCTTTAATTTACATTGCCCTAATGGCTGATCACATTAACATTTTTCCTTGAGCTTATTTTCCATCGTAAGACATGAGCCAAAGGCTCAAAGTTTTATTTCTTCCTCCTGTTATCTATGCCAAAGGCTCATATTTTCCACCCGTGTTCTAAGTGTATCATTTGGTTTTAGACTGTTGACTTTTGAGAGTTTTTAAAAATATATTCTGGATACTACATTTCATCAGATATGGAGTTTATAAGTATTTTTCCCACTCTGGGTCTCATCTTTTCATCTTTGTTATAGGGTTATTTACACAGTACAGTATTTAATTTTAATGAACACTGAAAAATGAACTTGTCTTTTTTTTTGCTTTTATGGATCATGCTTTTAGCATTAAATCTAAGAACTCTGCCTTACCTTATATCCTGATGATTTTCTCCTATAATTCTTCCAAAAGCTTTACATTTTATGTTGGAGTGTGTGATATATTTTGAATTAATTTTTGTATAATGCATAGTACTTGGGTCAAGGTTGTTTGGTTTGGTTTTGCCTATAGATGTCCAGTTGTTGAGAAAGATGTTTTTCCTCTGCTGAGTTGTTTTAAGTCTATTTTTGGTTCTCTGTTATGTCCTAATTATGTGTCTCTCTGCCCACAGTCTTGCTTACTTCTCACGTCATGTCATACAGCTTGCCTTGAAATAAGCTCCAATGAGTCTTCTCACTTTATTCTTACCTCTCAAGTGTTACAGCTATTCTAGTTCCTTGTTTTTCCATATCATTTTTTAGAATAATCTTGTTTATATCTGTAACAAAATCTTGCTAGGATTGTGATAGGAATTATGTTAAACCTATATACCATTGTAGGAAGAATCGATATCTTTATTGTAGTGAGTTTCCTATTGGTACTGGGAATTGAACTCAGGACCTTGCACTTGTCAGGCAGGCACTGTGCTGCCTAGCTATATCCCCAGCCTGGATTTCCTATTCTGTAAACATGGTGCAGTACACCTCTCCATTGATTTCTGTCATATGTGTAGCGCTTCAGTACACATATCATATATGTCTTGTCATGCAGTCATGAACCACATGACTATGTTTTGATCAATGATGGATTGTTTATATGATGGTGGTCCCATGACTGTATTGCTTAGTGGCATCACAGCTGTTTTAGTTTGTGTAAATACCCTTTATGCTGTTCACATACCAACAAAATCATAATATAGTTCTCAGAATGCATTTCATAGTTAAGCAACTTATGGCTTGATTTACACATAAATATTTTTGAGTAATTATAAATGGTATTATATTTTTAATTTCAGTGTCCATTTGTTTTTGACTAGTATTTATAAATTCAGTTGATCTTTATATATTTATCTGGTATCCTGTGATCTTGCTGAATTCATTTATTCTTTCTAAGACTTTTTGTAGGTCACTTGGGATTTTTCCTAGTCATGATGTCTACACAGTTTTACTTCTTCCTTCCTATTGTCTGTGCTTTTTATTTTCTTGCCTTTTATTTTCTTTTGTTGAATAAGAGTGGTGAAATCTGCTATACTTGCCTTGTTCACAAATTTGAGGGAGCCTTAAGCATAATGTGAGCTCAGGTTTTGGTCGATGCTCCTTATCCCGTTCAGTTCCTCGTACAGCCAGTGTTCGGAGACTTTGTTATGAGAGTTAACAACCTGACAAACGATTTTTCTGTGTTGAATTATATGATCATGTGCTTTTCTTCTCTAGCATGTTAATGGGGTGGAACATATTGATTGATTTTCAAATACTGAACCAGCTTTGCATCCCTGGAAAAATTCCACTTTGTCATAATTGTTTTTATGTGTTTCTGAATTGTTTGCTAATATTTTGACATATAACAATTATATTTTTGAGGAACCGTGTGATGCTTTTATAAATGCATACATTGTGTAATGGTCAAATCAAGGTACAAATCATAGGTACCTCCTCAAACATTTATCACTTCTTTGTAGTAAAAACTTGAAAAATCCTTGCTTCTGGCTTTTATTTGGAAATATACAGTACATTATCATTATCTGTAGTTAGCCTACTGTGCAGTAGAACATGGGAACTTATTTCTCCTATGTGTAGCTTAGACCCATTAACCTACCAAGGCCCCTCTCCCCCTCCCGGACCCTGCTCTTCCGCAGCCTCTGGAAACCATTATTGTGCCGATTGCTGGTAGTTGGTTAAGGACTTTTGCGTCTGCGTTGGTAAGGTGTATTGATCTGCTTTTCCTTTTTCATGTTGCTTTTATTTCCTATTGCCTTTATGTGGTTCTAGCATCAGGGTAATCCTAGCTTTACAAAATGGTTTGGGAAGTGTTCCATTCTTTCAGTTTCTGGAAGACACTGTCTAGAATTGATGTTGATTTTTTTTTGAAGATCTGGTAGACTTTTCCTATACTGTTTGGACTAGGAAATTTGGGAGATAGAGAAGGACGATAAAATTTAAAATCAGTTTCCTTAATATTTTGTACTGGGTGAGTCGTGGTAGCTTGTTTTTTGGAGGAAGTATCCATTTTGTCTAAGGCATCAGTTTTGTATTTACTCACTCACGTATTCTGTTACCAAGATCTTCTTTTCACTGTTTTCCCCTATTTTGTTGTCAGTTTTATTTATCTTTGCTCTTTATTATTTCCTTTTGCTTTGAGGGTATTTTACTATTCTAAGATTTTAAGGTGATCACATAGATTTTTGAGATATTTTCCCTTTTATCTATTACATGGATTTTAGTGCTATGAATTTCCCTGTCAGAACCACTTTACCTGTACCCCACAGATTTTGAGATGTTCTGTTTTTATTTTCATTGAGTTCCATGTATTTTTAATTTCTCTTGAGAGTCTTTTTTTTGATCCATAGATTATTTAGAAGTATCTCACATAATTTCTGAATAGTTTGATTTTCCTGTTTTCTTTCTGCTATTAATTTCTAGTTTGACTTTATTGTAGTCACAAAACAAACTCTATTATTTCACTTTTTTGTATTTGTTGAGATTTGTTTTATGGCCCAGGACATGGTTTCTCTTACTGTATGTCCTATGGCCTCTTGAAAGAATGTGTATTCAGCTGTTGTTGGGTGTCCTATAAATGCCTGCTAGCTCTTGGTGGCTGATGGTGGCACCAAGTTCCTCCGTTACTGCCTACCTGAATTTTTGCGAGTTGTTCTGCCATTTGTTCAGAGAGACGGATGCTGAAGTCTCAAGTGAGTCATCTCAGAGGATGTAGAAATAGCAAAAACATCAAAAGAGGATCAACAATGTTAGCCAATAGGGCAGTGCAAATTAAAACCACAGTATCTCTGCATGCTTTATGATGACTAAAGTACCATTTTAAAAACTACTGAAAATGGGTCAGTGATTTAGGGGAAAACTGGAGCTCCCATATGCTATTGGTTGGAATGGTAAAGCCACCTTGACAAACTGATAACATTTAGCACTGACCAAATAATTCCACACCTGGTGTCTGCTTTAAAAAATGAAAATGTATATCCATACAACGATCCAGATACAAATGTGTACAGAAGCTCTATGAATAACCCAAAACTGGAAACAACCCAAGTGAATGGATAAACAAACTGTGATACACCCCGGTAATGGAATTCTGCCTGGCAATACAGAGGATGGACTCTTCATACACAGAACACTGGGTGTAACTCCGAGGCATTAAGCTCAGTGAATGAAGCAAGTCTCAAGAGAAGTGATGCTTAGAGATTCCATTTGTATGACATTCTGGAAAGGGCAGTAGTGGTGAAGAACCTATCAGCAGTTGCCAGAGGTTAGGTGGGGTGGACAGCGTGACCAAAAGGGGGCAGCGCTAGGGAGTTTTTGAGGAGGTAGAACTATTCTGTATCCCATTTGTGCGTATACTGACCTACATTCATAGAACTCTGCACCAGATAAAAAGATAATTGTATACAAATAAATAATAACACAGTGAAGGGCTGCTGGGCCGTGCCCACTCTGGCACCGCCTGGAAGTATGCCGTTATACTAGTGGTATAACTAGTGCCACTGCCGCTGCCATCCAGCCAGGTTTGGTGAAAGCATGTGGCGTGCGTTCCGGAGGGCTGAGGTGTGATTTGGCAGTAGGACAGTGGCTCAGTTCAGAAATCGTGACTTCGGACAGTAAGATACACAAATATCTTTCTAAACAAATACAGTTTCTTTCTAAAATGTTCCAATTCTAACTGTAATATTCCACAGGTATGGGGCTAGGCCGATACGAAACAACTTGTTTATTTGAAAATATATACAGTAGGACTTATAAACAGTCATTGGGCTAGCAAGTGTGTTCACCAATCTGTAAGACTGCGTTACCTGTGGATGTTGGACACCAGCTTATCTCCTTCCCTTCGTCCCGTACAGGAGGTTGTGGCCCACTGGATTGCTGAAAGTCGCATTGCCATTGAGGAGATCCGCTTGTTAACCCTGAAAGCTGCCCACAACATAGATACTCTGGGCAGTGCTGGTGCTAGGAAAGAGGTGAGGCAACCCTGGACCGCCAGCCACAGAGCTTTCTTTAGTTTCTCCCAGCCTTCAGCAGTGCGGGTCTCATGGCACCTTGAAGGCACTGAGAATATTAGAAGCTCCTGGGTGACGTTGGTTTAAAGACTATAAATGAGCCTGGTATGGTGATGCATGCCTGTAATGACAGCTGCTCAGTAGACTGAGGCAGGAAGACCACAAGTTCAAGGCCAGCCTGAATTCCTGAGACCCTGTCTCAAAATAAAGAATAAAAATGTACATGTACCGCCTCTCCACAATGAATGCTACCAGTACATATTGCAAACATGTACTAATAAAAATTAAAATTAAAAAAGAATGAGACTTATAAGTAGCTGAAAAAAGAAAGAAAAAAGGGCTGGAATGCAGCTGGGTGGCTTATCTAGCATGCATCTGGCCCTGGATTCAATCCCTAGGACCACACACACACACACACACACACACACACACACACACACACACACAGTCCTAGGTATCTATCACTTGCTAGCTTTCCTTTCACTGTGCTACTTCATGAGGTGCAGCACAGAATGGGTAGATGCTGGGCTCTCCATGGAGCTGGCATTGATAGTAACCACTGCTCCACTTTCTGCTTGGCTGGGACCATGGGCAGAGAATTTAATCTTTCCACCCTTGTCCTGGGCTTCTTGTGGAGAGTAACTTAAATGGAAAGGATATTCTGCCATGGAGTGAATATTTTATGAAGGGCTCCTGATGCCCTCGCTGCCTTCTTATGTTCTGGCTTACGTGGATTAAGGACATAATCATTTAATTCTTTAAAAACCCATAAAATTGCTAAGGTAAAACTGATCAGTGGAGCAGAGGCCCTTACACTGTTTTTATGACCTTGAACGTGATGAGTGTGACCTGTGAACTGCCTGAAACTGTTTTGGAAGGAAGGAAAGTTACAAATAAAAGAATAAAATGTGATTTGGAAGAGATAATACTTTTATAAAAGTCTGTATTGACTGAAATATAAGCCATTAACTGCATTTCAGCAGATCTATTTGTTGGCTGTTAAGTGTGACTTGGGCGTGGGAAAGTTCCCTTGTTTCAATTCACAGAGAAAAAAATATAGATTATATCAAATTTGGCACGTTGTGTAGAGTCTAAGGAAGAAGCTTTCTGTTCACATTCTGCTTGTGCAGATCGCAATGATCAAGGTGGTGGCTCCCCGGGCTGTCTGCAGGATCGTTGACCGAGCCATCCAGGTGTGCGGCGGGGCGGGCGTCTCCCAGGACCAGCCGCTGGCTAACATGTGAGTAGATGGTGTTTCACAGTATCCACTTCGGACAGACGAGATTTCAAAATCTGTCAGTGACACACATACAAATATGTGGCAATTAAAAAGGAAATGAGATCTACAGATGCTTGGACTTTAGTTGTTGAGGAAGAAAATAAAGCGCAGAACTGACCTTAAAATGTAACCGAGGCTCTATGAAGTGACGCGGGGACTGTGGCATAGAGCTCCGCGCGGAGACACAGTCACTGTCGGGAGCACAGTCGCCGTCTCCCTCCTTTGCGCTCACGTGTACACTGAGGCACCCGCTGAGGGTTCCACCCGGAAACGGGGGGAGGTGCGCCCAGAGCCAGCATGTGTCCCCTAGGACTGGGTGCTGCCCCCGGGGCTGCAGGTCCATTTGCACCCGTGCGTGCTGTGACCTCCTGTGTCCTGGTTCCGGTTCCTGGGAGACAGGGAACATCTGCATATGCCCCATCTGTCTCTCCACACAAGTCAGCCCGCACCTGGACTCTTACAGCAGAGGGAGAGTTGCGCACCCTGTCAATTTCCCAGCTAAAGAACTAAACACATAGTGTCGTGCCATTTGCTGCCTGCGGCTTACCTAAAATGTCTTAGTCATAGCAACTGCTGGCAACATGTAGCACGTCCCACTGTGCCTTGCCATTTAGGGTTCTACTTTCTGGAGTTAGGAGCTTCACTTTATTAGGAGCTCACATCAATTGCATGTCTCAGCGGGGTTTAGTGTGGGGTTTCCATACTTGCTTACGGCGTGTACCGATCAAATCCAGCCACTTTTTCTATGTCTTGCTCCTACTCCCTTCCTGATCCCTATTAAGCAAGATTCTACTTTCAGATCGACCAGTTTTAGTTTCCAAATATGAGAGAGAACATGTGGTGTGTGTCTTCCTGTATCTGTCTTCTTTTGACTTAATGTAATGTGGACCAGTCCCATTCATTGTGCTACAGATGACAGGATTTCCTCCTTTATGGCTGAATAATGCAGCATCGGTGTATACACGTTTCTTCACCCACTCATCCGTTAATGGGCACCAGCCTGTCTTTACCTTAGCTGTTGTGAGTAGTGTTCAGTGAACACGGACGTGCGAGTTTCTCTTTGGTATACCACCTTCACTGTCTCTGCACGTATACCCTGAAGTGGCAAATAGAGCATATGGTAGGTTTATTTTCAGTTTCTTGAAGAAACTCCATACTTTATAGTGACTGTACTAATTGATATTCCCACCAAAAGTGTGTAAGAGTTCCTTTTCCTTTTTACACTTGCCAGTATTTGTTATGTTTTTTCTTTTTTTATGGTAACCATCTGTCTTAGTTACTTTTCTCTGGTTGCTGAGACAAAATACCTGGCACCTAGAATTAAGGAAGGAAAGGTTTATTTAGCTCACAGTTTCTGGAGGTTTCAGCCCATACTCGACTGGCTCCAAGGCAGAGTGGCACATGCCAGAGGGCAACAGTTCATGGCCGTGGAAGACAGCAAAAGCACCAAGAGCAAAAGCGGGGGAGCGGCAGCAAGCAGCCTCTTTCCCTCCCTTACACTGTATGCAAACTACCTGTCCCAGGATGGGTGTAGCACTCATACCAATAATCCCAGCATTCTACCAGGATCAATCATGAACTCTAGAAGCCTGCCCCATGACTGCATGAGGCTTTGGGGGGACATCTAGACACAAACCATAACACCATCCTAACTAGAGTGGCATGATATCCTATGTAATTTTGATTTTGATTTCTCTATTTCTTTGCTGAATTTCTCATCAAAAAACTTGCACTGTCTTTCTGATTTCATTTAACAGTTTTCTATATTCTCTTAGATCTCATTAAACTTTATTTATTACTCATTCTTTTATTTTCTCCATCAGTTATTTCATCACAATTTCTTTGGGCTCTTTGCTAGAAAGTCATTCTGTTCTTGTGGAAGTGTCATATTACCTGGCTTTTTCATATTTTTTGTGTTCCTACATTGAGATTTGTACACCTGTTGTATCAGTTGTATCTATAATAGTGATAGTCAAATTTCAGTAGCTGTGAGAAAATGCCTGAGTAAATCAACATAAAGGAGGAAAGGTTTACTCTGGCTCACACTTTCAGAGGTCTCAGTCCGTGTTCAGCTGGCTCTGTTATTTTAGAGCCTTTAGCAAGGCTGTACGTCATGGCAGAAGAAAGGCGTGGTGGAAGAGTGCAGCCCATTCATGATGGCCAGAAGGAGGTAGGAAGGAGAAATGAAGGAGCGAGAGACGGTTCAGGGCTGCGACGTGGTCTTCAGAGGCATGTCTCCACTGACCCTGTCTTCCAACTGGATCCCACCCACTCCCACTTGCATCAGCAGCTGGGGACCAGCCCATCCACACCTGAGCCTTTACAGGCCATTCCAGTGCCAGACTATAACAGCCACTTTTATGGGTTGGCCGTTGTAGCAAGTGGCGTTCCCTTGAAATACTTTGGAGTGTGGGTGTGAATAAAGCAATGTTGGCTTTATTTCTAGCTGGGCATCCATAGTGTACTTTCCTTATAGATTCCTTGGCTGTGGTTAGTAACTTTGGGCAGAGCGTGTACTGTGTCGAAGTCAAAGAAACCTACTGTTTCTGTGGGCCATGCAAGAGTGGGGCCATTGCAGCACTTGGAGCAGCTGTGCAGACAGCAGCAGTGCTCTCTGTGTGACTCCTACGCTGGGAGTAGTGACCCTCCTGGGCAGCGGGGATTTCCCTAGGCGCCACTGATTTTAGCTCTGCTGCCAGCGGTGAGGGCTGCAGCAGAGGCGAGGGGCTGGAAGAATTTGTCTCCCAGGTCAGTGGTCCCCAGCCAGGTGCTGCATGGGAGAGGCGGCGGCAGGAACCACGGTGGCAGCTCCTGCTGTTCTCACTCGCTTCTGACACCAGCATGTGTTTGGGGGACACGGCAGTGCAGCCACCATGGGAGGGTAGTGGCAGCAGGAACACTGACGACCTCTCTGCATGGGGGGCAGTGCACACCCGGGGGGAGTGGGCACCGGCTGGGGCCAAGGCTTTTTTCTCACAAACCCTTTATCTGAAGTGAGTGCCTGTGAGCACTGGCTGACCCAGGGCAAGTTTCTCTGAGCCTTCTTTTACCTTGTGCACCTGGGGACAGAGTGACAGCTGGAGCCGCAGAGCTCCCTACAGCCCTGTCGTCATGCCCTCTGCACAGGAGAGCAGCAGGAACCACGGTGTCCCTCCCTGCCTGTCGGGAACAGGAACCTGAGCGGGGTTGGAGGGAAGGCGCGGGAACCTGGAGCACCTGCCTGCAGTCCTGGCTCAGCCCGAGGCCACGTGTGTGACTCAGCCTTGATCTCAGCGGCCAATGGTCTTGTCGCTTGGTTCTCGAGACCACTTTCCTCTGTTTTGTCAACTGTCCACCTAATAATACGAGGTTCCCAGTTGGGCTTGGATCATCGTCATTCTGCTGGACTAAGTTGGGTTCACCAGGCAGCTATCCCCAAAGCCAGAGCAGGACAGGCCCACAGATGTGGACGTGCAGGGGTTTCTGAGCTCCAGAGTCCAAACCCAGACTCTAGCTCCCTTCAAGATGGCTCCTGGCTACAGAAGCCTGGAGTTTCTCTGGTAGATAATGTGAGCTCTTTTCCAAAGCAAGTCTGTGCGGACTTCAAGTTACTCACCTGAGTGGGCCGCAAACCTGTGAGGCTTATAAAACCCTCAAGTCGTTAGGACTGGAGTGCCAGCATGCACACTGGTAGTTTGCAAGGGCAGGTCCTTTTATTTCTGCCTCTGCAAAGGACGGACTTCCCTCCTCTGGCTGAGTAGCAGGTCTTTGGTCTCTCACTGTGCTCTCCTCCCACATCTCTCAATTCTCCGAGTTTCCGGTCTCACCGATTTCCAGCATTCTCCTGGGTCGCTCATCTCAGAGTGCAGCTCTATGCCTGTACACCGGTTCTTTAGGGAGGAGGAGGTGAGCATTAGGCGCCTTTATTCAACCATCTTTAAACTCCCACGTTGGAAATTTTAAAAGGCATCTTGGAAGCCCTTTAGCTTTCTTCCTTGATTTTCCTTGTACTCTTTGTCTTGGTGGGGTCAATATTGCCACGGTTTAGAATGAACACATTAAAATATCATGTTCCTCTTTGACAGCTCCCACAGCCGCTGCCTGTTTTTTCCCAGGTATGCCCTAACACGAACTCTGCGCTTAGCAGATGGGCCTGACGAAGTCCACCTCTCAGCAGTTGCAAAAATGGAGCTGCGGGAACAAGCCAAAAGGTTGAGAGCCAAGATGTGAGAGAGGAGCACTGCCCCCTCCAGAGGCAGAGGGCTCCTTCACTCAGCCTCAGTCAGCGCTAGTGTTTGATTCCTTGGAGTCTGAGCAAAGGGTAATGACCTGTGCTAAAGATTTTGGTATCTGTTTGTTCAGGGGTTTTGTGATTTCGAGAGTCACACAGATGTGTGTTAACTAAGGAAGACCGTAGCTGCTGTCCTTATGTCTAGTACCTCAGTGGGTTAGCATCTGCTTTTTAATGCAAATTGTGACCAGATCACGGAATAAATTGAGAGTTATTTCTAAAGCACAAACATAGATCTTCCACTTTTTGATTTTCAGAACTTGTTCATGGAAGTAAATAACTCAAAATATTTCCTCTTGCTTTGAAAAACATAGCTAGACCCCTTTTCAACACTGGGCTGTAGGGGTTAATTTAACACTGCAGAGTATTTGCACTAGAGAAAGATGCACAGCTGGCTGGCTTATTTTAGAATTCATTTAAATGTAAGCCTCTTCATCATTGAATAGGGAACACTAATGTATTAAATCTAAATGGCTTAAAAATTTGTAAGAAAACCTCACATTTTATGAGAGAATTTAGGTGTCATTTTATTTTAAAAATGTTGAGAAGAGTGAAGAGTTTGAGGGAAAGAAGTGCTTTCCTGGGTTTTGTTAAGAGATGGAAGGCAGCGCACTCTGCAAGATGTGCTGCTGGCAGCAGTGTCCTCCCACACTCATAGCTGCCAGCTACAGGTGACCTGGGCGCCTGAGGTGTGGCTTGTGTCCCTGAGGAGGGCGAGTTTTAATTTTAAAAAGCTGCAACTTAAATACTGATGCTTGGCTCAGTTACTGGGAAAGCTTTTCAGGATGCTGGGGATGAGGCGGCTCTGTCAATCTACCTTTTCATCTGTAAGCTTTATGAAATCTAAATACAAAGTATTTTGAATCAAAATTTGGCATCCAAATAGCGTAAAATGTATACCAGGTTTTGAAAATTCAGCATGAAAAATTCAAAACATCTTATTAATACCTTTTATATTGATTACCTATTGAAAAATTTTTGAAATACTGAATAAAAAATATTAAAACTAATTTCTGCTGTTTCTTGTTGTGTTTTTAGTGTGGGTGCCATGGGAATTGATAAATTTTAAATCTTCAAATGTGGGTTTTATTTCTAAAAGCGTTTGCTTTTTGAGGAAGTGTGCATATCAGGCGGGCGCACTGGTGTGCGGGGTCTCTGTCACAATGTGCACTTCTTGGGCCGAGTGCAGAGGCAGGGAGCAGGACTCCGACGGCACCAAGCTCCTACCCTTGGTGTACGGGCTCTGGCACCTCTTCCGCCCTCTCTGTACCTCACTTCCCTGCTGTACATTGGGATCAGTTTTTTAACCGTAAGGCCCGTTACCTGCCTAGGGTTTGTTGTGAGGGTTACTAAAGCCATGGAGAAGCACCTGGAAATTTGTGGAACACAACAAATTACTTCATGAGGTCTTATTTGAAGGAGATAAAACCTTATAACCCAAACTATTTGACCTTATTAATAATTTTAGAAGTTGTGATTTAGAAGAGATAAGGACTTTTTAAAGTAACTGGAATGAAAAGTTATGTCTGCTTGTCATAATCCTGTGGTAACTGCTCTCTACCTTTGAGGAAGGCTGGCTGAACTGGTTGCTTTGCGTTTCAGTGAACCATGCCGTGCACCTAGCAGTCCCTGAGGCAAGCTGCCCCATGCGATCCATACTGACCTCTTCCCCTACCTTTAATTTAATTTGTTCAGGGAAAGTCACGTTTAACACAATCACAGCAGGGCTGCAATTCACGTCTCACTGCCAGGCGGCGCTGAACCAGCACTGGTACGTGCATGGGACAGTTCTATCAGGTGGAACAAGCTTCCAGATGAGAACATTATAAAGGTTTTTTTCTGAAAAGGAAGAACTCCAAATTGTACCATCAGAAGATAAAGGGCCCTTTGCCCTGGTCACAGTGAGTGAATTGACTCACTAGATCCTTGAGCTTCCGGCCAATTCCAGGGTTTTGTCTCCTCAGCCTGTCACCAGGAGTCACTGAGCACAGCCTACCCAGGAGTCTGTGAGGTTTGCCATGTGTCTGGAGAAGTTGGTTTCAAATGAGAAGTTGCCCTGTATAGTAACCACATGGCAGGGAAGGAAGAAGGAGAGTTTTCCACTTAGGGCTTTACCCACCCAGGCCTCTCCAAAGTCGGTCATGAGATTAGCAGCAGGACAGGAGGAGCCTGGAGACTGCAGAACAGGGAAGACACCACGAGGCCCCAGGTGGAAAAGGCCTCAGGGTGCACAGGGGTAGCTGTGCTTGTCGAGGGGAGCAGCCACGTAAGGCTTTCTGGCCCGGACACTGTAAATTCTGAGGACACGCCACTACAGAGGCTCGGATTCCTCACTACCCCAAGGTTGCTGATAAAGGTTCCCTTGAGCCAGGGTACCATCACCCTGCTGCTCCCAACAAGTGTGTCTGCTCACCTTGGGCATGCTCGTGTTTTGTTAAGAGAACTAAAATGGGTAACATGCGGCCAAATCCAACACTGCTGTGGGTACTTAATGACCGCATTGCACTAGGCTTGCCTAAAACCACTTTCAGCCTGTTCTTGAATCAAGCTACAACATTTTCTAGGAAATTCAGAAGGCAGGCATTTCCTATCCAGGCTTTCTTTTTTTTTTTTTTAATTTTATTTTGTTTTAAAGAGAATAAAAAAAAAAAACCAAAACACAAAAGCAGTAAAAATGATACAGGTTTCAAAACAAAATGATAGGAATTAACAGTGGTTGTTATATTACATATTTTTATCTTCAATGAAGTTGCTGAGATTACCAGATGTAAGAATGCAAAATTGATCAAACCTTTATAGAGAATAAGAAATAATTTTAAAAACCATTAGGAACAATACAGAGCTTCACTGAACAAGATGGTAGGAATTCACCAGTGGTTGTTTTATTGCATGTTATTGCCTTCAAATTAGTTGTTCAAAATACTAGATATGAGCACGCAAAATTGGTCAAAAAAATTTAAGCGTTAACTGTTCCTTTCAATAAACCAATAGACATCAGCAGTACAGTTATCCCAGCTATCCTTATATATATATATATAT